AGCTTGCTTTCCCTCCCCACTTACTGGTTTACAAAGCCCATTCACAGGCCTCCTCTCAATTTTTATTTGATTTATATATGTGAGGCATATCAAGGCAATATAAACAAGGGCCGAGGGTGCCAGTGCCATTATCAGTGTCCTTTCATCTGCCCCCGAAGATGGGCCCTCTTCTCCAAACAGTGCCAGCAGTTTACAGAACTTCTCTTTAAAGAGTGAGTTCATTTGTTTTCAAATACCGCAGCCCGTATGGGGTTTAGTGAATTCAGCCCTAGCCCGCCCTCTAAATGACTATCAATTTGTTTGAATCATGTCACAGAGCGGTTCTGTGCTGGGGATGGTGTGTGTGTGTGTGTGTGTGTGTGTGTGTGTGTGTGTGTGTGTGTGATGCTACAATTCCGCAATTTCTGGAGAGGGTCACTACCACCACCATCACCACCGTCACTGTCACCACCACCACCCATTCACTGGGTGAATGTCATCACTGGAGGGTGGGTTCTGTTGGCATCCGGTGGGCAGAGGCCAGGGACACGGGGCATGTCCCCACAGTGCTCCCGGGTGTCCCTGGAACAAAGCTTCTCCAGGCCCTGTTGGGGTTGGTGATGAGGTTGAGAAACCTTCCTTGACATGTGACCCTCCTGCTCACTCACTTGTGTCCCTGCAGGCCAAGGAGAAGGTGTGGTCACACCCCAGCCTGAAAGAAAGCACATTTGTCAGAGGCAAAAGGACCTCGGCCCTCCCAGGTAAGAGTTTTAGAAGACTAGTTATTTATATGGCTGTAAAAAAAACCTCTCGTGACAATCCTATATTTCTAAAGAGGAAGGCCCTCTGTCCTAAAGCCCCGGTTGGGGATAAGGGCTATTTCACTCCTTTTATGTGAGGGGATTGGGGGGTCAACTCACTAAAGACAGGCAGTCATTGAGGACCTGTTTCCAATCAGTTGGGTTTGCGTCTTCTTTGCTTCTCTGAAGCGTCTCTTGGCAGGTCCAGAGAACTCCGGGTAGAGATGCCCAAATGATACCCGACACGTGTGGTCCACCTCTAAAATATTTTGTGGCTTTTAGAGAGATCTTCCCAGAAGACCCAGCCCTCTTCTGCACAAGAAAAGGTTCATCGACTCAACAAGAAAAATGCCGAGAAGACCAAAGTCTCTCTCACTCCGGGGAGTCTCGGCACAGCGAGCCCACGAGACCGGGGAGGAATCTCTGCTCCCAGGGACGCCACAAAGCCAAGAGAGAGGCTAGAAGGGAGAGACATCTCAGGCCCCGAGAGACTGGGGAGGCAAGACGGGGATGAGAGAAAGACTTCCGGGGCGGACAGTGAGAACTTGGTGTTCCCAGGACAGAAAAACGGGCTTCCCTCTGCTGAAGACACCCGGGGAAGAGAAGCTGAGAAAAACGGAGCAACAGAGGTGGCCAGTGAGCACGAGCCGGATGAGAGCTGGAAGGGAAAGCAGTCCGGCAGCCAGAGTAACGGGGATCAAGTCTATGAAAGGTAGGCCTCTGGCGACGGACACATCCTGCCGGTCTCCTGTTGGTCTCTGATGCTGCAATTTGAGGCCTCGTCAAAGGGACCCCTGGAGCACGTTTCTGAAGCCAGACTGTAGAGGCAGGAGCAATAGGACGGCGGGGGGAGGGCACTTGCCTACCCGCTGACTGGCTTTCGTCCCTGGCACCCCGTCTGGTTCCCTAAGCCTGCCAGGAGCCGTCTCTGAGTGCAGAGCCATGAGTAAGCCCTGAGCACTGCTGGGTGTAGCTCAAAAAAGAACAAGCAAGCAAGATAAAGGCTTGTTTAGAATTCACTTGCTCCAGTTCGTGTGGGTCTTTCTTTCTTTCTTTCTTTCTTTCTTTCTTTCTTTCTTTCTTTCTTTCCTTCCTTCCTTCCTTCCTTCCTTCCTTCCTTCCTTCCTTCCTTCCCTCCCTCCCTCCCTCCCTCCCTCCCTCTTTCTTTCTTTCTTTCTTCTTTCTTTCTTTCTTTCTTTCCTTCCTTCCTTCCTTCCTTCCTTCCTTCCTTCCTTCCTCCCTCCCTCCCTCCCTCCCTCCCTCCCTCCCTCCCTCCCTTTTTCTTTCTTTCTTTCTTTCTTTCTTTCTTTCTTTCTTTCTTTCTTTCTTTCTTTCTTTCTTTCCTTCCTTCCTTCCTTCCCTCCCTCCCTCCCTCCCTCCCTCCCTTTTTCTTTCTTTCCTTCCTTCCTTCCTTCCTTCCTTCCTTCCTTCCTTCCTTCTTCTTCTCCTTCTTTCTTTCTTTCTTTCTTTCTTTCTTTCTTTCTTTCTTTCTTTCTTTCTTTCTTTCTTTCTTACACCCGGTGATGCTCAGGGGTTCCTCCTGGCTCTTCACTCAGGAATCACTCCTGGAGTGCTCAGGGGACCCTATGGGATGCTGGGAATTGAACCCAGGTCGGCTGCGTGCAAGGCAAATGCCCTACCCGCTGCGCTACTGCTCCAGCCCCACGTGTGGATTTTTCTTGGCCACGTTTTCTTGCCATTCTTTTTCCTTCTGACCGGGTCGGTCTCAGACATTTTGTTTTCTAAGTCTACTGCCAGTTGAGAAACACCAGAAGTGATGAGGAGTGCTCACTTCAACCAGTTATATTTAAAGCAGAGGAGATCCATTTTTAAATTTTTAACTTTAAACAAAATGGAGCAGAGTTTCCCCACATTAAGAAGGAAGTAGTGATGTATCTGAGAATAAAAATCTGACTCTTGGAAAGCTTTCAGCCCCGTTCCCAGGAAGATTAGGTATAGATGACTGGAGGACGTTTCCTCCCCTACAAAGTGTAGATTCCAGTAATTAATTAGGTAGCCAACAGTCCCTTCCTTAAGAGGAACGTCCATATCTTTTCCAAAAAGTGTCGGCATATCTGTGGCCCTTTTAAAGGGGATTTCAGATGTCATTCTTATTTTATTCCCCCCCAAAATGTGTTTGAAACTGACTTGTGGAGAACTCCAGTTTCCCAAGTGTTGAGTAGAAACATTGACGATGCTGAAAACACCCATGCTGGCAGAGTTGCAGTCAGTCGGAATCTGATGGAAAATTGAAATTAGCTTTATCCTCTCTTTATTCATTCTGATTCTCCTGCCAAGAGATCATTGCTTTTCAAAGTATTTTTTCATTGACTGATGTTGCTTTCCTAAAGGGAATGTGGTGTGTGTGTGTGTGTGTGTGTGTGTGTGTGTGTGTGGTGGGTGAGGCAGGATCAAATTGATTATGCAGGGGCTGGAGCAATAGCACAGTGAGTAAGGCGTTTGCCTTGCATGCAGCCAACATGGCCGGCACAGGTTCGATTCCCAGCATCCCACATGGTCCCCCGAGCACCACCAGAGCAATTCCTGAGTGCATGAGCCAGGAGTAACCCCTGAGCATCGCCGGGTGTGACCCCCCCAAAAAAGAAAAAAAATTGATTATGCATTTATAGAGTGGTCAGTGGAATAACTTGAAATCCTAAGATTCTCTGGACTGGCCTAGAACAATAGTAGAGCAAGTTGGACCCTTGCCTTGCTACTGGCTGATCCAGGTTTGATCCCTGGCACCCCATGTAGCCCCATGAACTCCACCAGGACTGATCCCTGAGTGCAGAGCTAGGAGTAAGCCCCGAGCATCGCCAGGTATGGCCCCAAAGCCAGAAAAAAAGAATCTCTGAATGCCAGTTGGATTGCTCCGTGCGCTCTTGCATTGTTAACGTCCCTTCAGCAAAACCCCCATCTTTTTTTTTTTATGCTCAGAATGGAGCCATCGAAAAACTTTCTCTTGAACCCCTGAGAGCTGCAGCTGGCTTTTCTCTTCCAGGTGTCTCAGCGGTGTCAAGGCCATTTCCACCCTACAGACCCCAGGAAGCCCTGCCGGAGGACCCTGTTTCCAGCAAACAGAGCCCACAGAACCAGCTGGCCACAGCAAGCGCAGGGGCACGGAGGAGAGAGCCAGCAACGAGGACAGCAGAAGAGCAAGACAGATGCGGCCTCTCAGAGGACCCAGGATCCCTGCCCAGCTCATGAGGGCTTGCAAGACCAGTCTCCGGGGCCCAATGACAAGCCTTCCACACCGCAAGATCTGGGGATGCCACTGGGTAGGAGGCAGCTTTTGTTTCTTGCCTTTTAAAGCTTCTTAACCTTCCCCAGGGATCAGTTCAATGAAAGCCATAGAGGGTTCACCTCTCACGGCCACCCTCACTCAGCCCTGGGCGTATGGAGCACCATCATTTGTTCTTTTCTCTGAAGACTTGAACAACAGGAAGAGATATCTTTGCTGCCTTCTTTCTTGTTCACTGTATTAATGATGTGAGTAGTGGTGTTGCTACCCATTCAGATCCCTGGAGGGTGATGTTTTACCCAATCAGATTCCTGGAGGTTGATGTTCTACCCAATCAGATTCCTGGAGGATGCTGCAGCCACTCAATCAGATTCCTGGAGATGGAGATTATCTGGGTTTAAAAAAAAGATCTCCAAGCCTGCTCGGATCGGGGCTGAGCATCCTCCACCCAGATCCTCCAAATTCTGGTAGGAAGGGGTCACACCCACCAACTGGCCCCCTGGTGCCATGTAATCCCATCAACGGCCAAGATCCAGAGACTATAAAACCCAGCTCCCGGAAGTGCATGGCCGCATTTGCGGCCGCACAACACCCTATCATCTCATTCTTACTTTGGACAAGATGGCAGGCTACCAAATGTAACCTGCCCGCACAGCAGAGTCTGGCAAACTCCCCGTGGCATAACCAATATGCCAATGCCAATAACAATGATGGGTCTCATTCTCCTAACCCTGGAAGAGCTTTTAATATGGCACTTTTAAAAAAACTCTCAGGGCTAGGACGAAGGAGACGTTACTGGGGCCTGCTTGAGGCAATCGACGAACAACAGGATGGTCGTGATCGTGATCGAAAAAAATAATATAAGCTCTTGGTAGAGTCTACCACAAGACAAAAATCTCAAGAAATAAACGCAGAAGAAATGCACATCTTTGTAGATGCTTTGATGAAGAACAAGGGGAGACGGCCAAGTTCCCAGGGGCTGCATTTAAGGGCATTTGTGAAGCAGCTACTGAGTCATCTGGCATTTCAAACTGATCCTGAGGTGGAGTGGAGTTGAAACACTTGGAGTGGAACGTAGAAAGTGGGTGAAATCTGAGAGCTGTGAAGTATGTACGTTAGCAGTTTTACTGGGTGTTTTATTTCCAGCCTGCCAGGGAAAATTCATCTTCATGCCTTAACTGTGTCTTAAAGAAAGCCCCAGATACCTTGGAAAGGAATCTATAATAAATCTATAATAATATCAAACCTTTCCATGACACGAGGAAACTTTTCACTTTTTCCCTCCCTGCTTTCATGAAAATAACGAACTTTTCAGAAAGAGGAACTTGACAAGCGCAGGATCAAATGATTTCTGTTTGAAAGGCGGTGGTCCGAGGCTTGGAAGGCCTGCCTATCCGAGTGTCTGGTGGGTCCTTGGCTCTCTGGGTAGTTCTAAACTGTCCTGGAGAAGGGACAAACCCTGGTCAGCTGGTCCTGTTGGACGTCCCAGATACTAACCTGAAATGAAAATGTATATTCCTGGATCACGAGGGACCAGCAGGCACCCCACAGCGTTTTATTATTTATTATTTAATGACTCCAAAATGTCACTCTGATGTTCAGCATTTGGCTCCATCAAGGGGTCTAGCTGCTTCATTGATGGTTTTCTGTTCCCCTTCCAGATGACACCCTAGCTCCTCCTGCTCCCTTTCCTCACCGGATGGTCACTGCCAAAAAAGCCGCCATCAGCAGTTTTTATGCCGTGGACAGATCGGAAATTCTAGGAGGGTAAGTAATGCTTCATTTTCACAGTCGTTCAACCAAAGAAGAACGCTTTTGAGCAGTCCGGAGGGTTCCGTCAATGTTAGCCGGTCTCCGTCTGAGAACCAGAAGTCTCACCCAGTCGTGATGCAAGGGATGGGAACGCCTTCTGAAAACTGTCCCCGAAGCCAGCAAGGATGATGGGGAGGACGTGAGGCAGCCCCAGACTCCCCCTGTACGATCTCCTTGTTCTCCCCACGTTATGAAGCCGGTCAGTAGAGGAGAGGAGCCCAGGGTGGGTCGGCAGGAAACAGAACACAGCTGTGAATCACTGCCCCCATACCCTGGCGACCAGCTTTGCATCTTTTATTTGCTTTTGAGGTTGTTGCTGGTGTCCCAGGCAGGTCAGCTCTGAACTGGTTCTCCCAAGCCTCTTCTGTTTTCCGCTCTCCTGTTGGTGGGACTTACTTGGAGGGTCTCTGCTGGCATGTTTCTCTCCGAAGCTGTTTGGGGCTATTTCTCCTTTTTTTTTTAAAAAAATTTTTTATTTATTTTTTTTATATTTATTTATTGAATCACCGTGGGAAAGGTTACAAAGCTTTCAGGTTTAGGTCTCAGTCATGCAAATATCAAACACATTTCCCTTTACCAAAACTTATTTTTTACCATGAAGAACCCCAATAAAACCCCACCCCCACCCCTCCCAGTCCTGTGGGGCAGATGAATTCTAGTTAACACTCTATCTGCTTTGATTAGATTCATTGTTTCAATAAAGATTCACCACTATTATTTAGAGTTTACCCCCCTCCCCCAAATCAGACATGTTGAAAAAGCATTGTGAAGTGATTTGCTTTCTACAGCTGGGTTCAAGAATTAAATGTTGGTTTTGGATTTCTGCTATTTTACTTATTGACCCTGGAAGTATTTCTACTGAAAGTCAGATAGTTAAGAAATTGGTTTCTGTGCTCTGGAGTCATGGCCGTGCTGGAGAGCCGCTAGTGGGGGGCAACTGCTGGCCTCGGTAGGGCGTGAAGGGCGGACCGAAACGCCCCCCTTCCCATGAAGTTTTAGTCGCCCCCACACCCCCGGCTCATACCTGCTGTCCACAAGGCTCCCATGCGGCCGCCATCTTTCTTTCCAGAGAGGAGAAGGTGACTGGGGCAACACCCTTTCCCCTCCGGGCAGACATGATGGCCTGGATTAACGCATAGTCCTTTCACTTTTCTGCTCCAAGCTGCTGGGTTCTGCATTAAGTCCTTGTGCTTCTGGGGCTGTGGCCGTGCTGGAGAGCCGCTTGTGGGGGGCAACTGGTGACCTCGGTAGGGCGTGAAGGACGGACTGGAACGCCCCCCTTCCCATGAGGTTTTAGTCACCCCCACACCCCCTGCTCATACCTGCTGTCCACAAGGCTCCCATGTGGCTGCCATCTTTCTTTCCAGAGAGGAGAGGGCGACTGGGGCAACACCCTTTCCCCTCCGGGCAGACATGATGGCCTGGATTAATGCATAGTCCTTTCACTTTTCTGCTCCAAGCTGCTGGGTTCTGCATTAAGTCCTTGTGCTTCTGGGGCTGTGGCCGTGCTGGAGAGCCGCTCATGGGGGGCAACTGGTGACCTCGGTAGGGCGTGAAGGGCGTACCGAAACGCCCCCCTTCCCATGAGGTTTTAGTCGCCCCCCGTCCCCCGGCTCATACCTGCTGTCCACAAGGCTCCCATGCGGCCGCCATCTTTCTTTCCAGAGAGGAGAAGGCGACTGGGGCAACACACCTTTCCCCTCCGGGCAGACATGATGGCCTGGATTAACGCATAGTCCTTTCACTTTTCTGCTCCAAGCTGCTGGGTTCTGCATTAAGTCCTTGTGCTTCTGGGGCTGTGGCCGTGCTGGAGAGCCGCTTGTGGGGGGCAACTGGTGACCTCGGTAGGGCGTGAAGGACGGACTGGAACGCCCCCTTCCCATGAGGTTTTAGTCACCCCCACACCCCCGGCTCATACCTGCTGTCCACAAGGCTCCCATGTGGCTGCCATCTTTCTTTCCAGAGAGGAGAGGGCGACTGGGGCAACACCCTTTCCCCTCCGGGCAGACATGATGGCCTGGATTAATGCATAGTCCTTTCACTTTTCTGCTCCAAGCTGCTGGGTTCTGCATTAAGTCCTTGTGCTTCTGGGGCTGTGGCCGTGCTGGAGAGCCGCTCATGGGGGGCAACTGGTGACCTCGGTAGGGCGTGAAGGGCGTACCGAAACGCCCCCCCTTCCCATGAGGTTTTAGTCGCCCCCCCGTCCCCCGGCTCATACCTGCTGTCCACAAGGCTCCCATGCGGCCGCCATCTTTCTTTCCAGAGAGGAGAAGGTGACTGGGGCAACACCCTTTCCCCTCCGGACAGACCTGATGGCCTGGATTAATGCATAATCCGTTCACTTTTCTGCTCCAAGCTGCTGGGTTCTGCATTAAGTCCTTGTGCTTCTGGGGCTGTGGCCGTGCTGGAGAGCCGCTCGTGGGGGGTAACTGGCGACCTCGGTAGGGTGTGAAGGACGGACCGAAATGCCCCCCTTCCCATGAGGTTTTAGTCGCCCCCACTCCCCCGGCTCATGCCTGCTGTCCACAAGGCTCCCATGTGGCCGCCATCTTTCTTTCCAGAGAGGAGAGGGCGAATGGGGCAACACCCTTTCCCCTCCAGCAGACTTGATGGCCTGGATTAACGCATAGTCCGTTCACTTTTCTGCTCCAAGCTGCTGGGTTCTGCATTAAGTCCTTGTGTTTCTGGGGCTGTGGCCGTGCTCCAAACTTAACTATGATTTTCAGAGAGAAATGTTGGGTGGTTTACTTCCCATGGATCACTTTGTATATAGAGAGACGTCGTGCAGCCGCGTAAGCGGCCGTGCGGTTTTGAGGAAAAGTCCTAGTTCCTGCATACTCGAGCTGTGCTTGTAGAGACTTCTGGTCACCGGGGTTCCATCTGGGGGAGGTGGGATGCAGTACCTACCCCATCTGGGACTTCCCGATGATCTTGGCTCTTTTTGGAACCTGTTTTTTTTTTTTTCCCTTCGGGATCTGTGGATCCCGCCCTCCATGTTGTCCTTCTCTTCGGCTGAATGCTTTAAAGCTCTCCTTTTTTTTTTTTTTTGCTTGTTGGGTTATTCCTGGCGATCACAGTGGTTACTCTTTGCTCTGCACTCAGAATTGCTCCTGGCGGTAGCTCAGAGGACCATATGGGATCCTGGGGATCGAACCCGGGTCGGCCGCATACAAAGCAAACACCCTACCCACTGTGCTATCACTCCGGCCCTTATTTCTCCTTCTTTCACTTCCATCACAACCTCCCCCCATTTCCGAGGTGCTGGCGAAATAGTACAGGGCTTAAGGTGCTTGCCTTGCTCTCAGCTGACCCCGGCTGATGCCCCTGAACGCTGCAAGTACTGATCCCTGAGCGAAGAGCAAGGAGTAAGCCCCGAGAATTGCGACGTGTGACCTCAAGGCCCCAAACAAACAACAACAATAACAACAACAAAATACAAACGACAACCCCCCCCCCCCCCCATCTTGTCATTTAAAGCCTAAGTGATAACGTGGACCTCTGGCAGCATATCTCTGTAAGTTAGGAAGAGGAGAGCAGAAAACTTCCATACACGCAGACCCAGTGTTGCCTGTAAAGCCCCCCTCTTCCTCTTCCCACTCCATATTTCTCTGGTCCTCTGCCCATGGGCTCCCTGGCCCCTTTTCTTCCTCTGTTGGCCAAGTGTCGAGAATTGCCCTTGGCCCCCTGAGGATGGGCTGAGGGAAAAACAGCCCCCTCCAATATGAAACATAACCAGGAGGGTCTTAGAATCTCTCAGTTCAGATCTTCAGAAGATGAGTGCTGAGTCAGCAATCGTCTCTTAAAAGGACCATTGATCAAGAGGTGGCTTTAAAACTACCCCCAGGGCCTGTGTCCCATCCAGCGAGGATGATCAGTGGTTCCTGAAGAGCTTTTCCACCTCTCCAGGCAGAACCGGGTTTCTGGATTGGGCTTTCTGGCATGGGGAAGCACTTCCCTCATGCCAACCAACAGCGGAAGGCAGCACCACAAGTGTCACAGAGGCACCATCCCGGCTGTACTGTGGCCTCCAATGGCAGAGACCATCCCGTGGGGTGGCCTTTCAGTGGGACCCAAGACCAGCAAACGAGCTTTCGCTCTGGACAGACGTTTGCTATAGATTGATGGCCTGTGAATCCTTCAAACTCACCTGGTTGGCAGGCCTCAGGATTTTTCCAGCCTTCATCTCCCACCCAGCTTGCTCTCATGGTTGTCCTTCTCTGGGCACATCTCTTTGATTCCACTGTTCTTCCTGCATTAACATATGCCGCAGAGACCTGGGCCCTACGCAAACAGGATGAGAACGCTATTCGGGTCTCTCAAAGAGGAATCGAAAGAGCTATGCTTGGAATACCACGCTTCACTCAAATGAGAGAAAGAATCCGGAGTTCTGACATGCGTAGACGATCAAGAATCAGGGACGCTGTCTCATTTGCCAAGGCGTCAAAAATCAGATGGGTTGGACACTTAATGAGATTTAGAGACGACTGCTGGACTAGAGCTGTTACCGACTGGATTCCACGGGATGTCAAAAGACCACGTGGCCATCCACCTACCAGATGGTCAGACTTCTTCATCAAGATCATGAACGATCGGTTTGAGGCTCTTCATGTTCCTAGAGTGAACAGACGCCATTGGGCTACACCAGAATGCTACAGGGACAAATGGAGACGTTACTGGTGCCTGCTTGAGCAAATCAACGATTAACAGGAAGTCAAGTGATCGAGTGATCAAGTGATCATCTCCCACCAGTGGCCTCTGAAGTCTAGATTGTCCATAGTCACTGTGGTGAGTTAGCATGAGCCCATCAGCCTGTCGGTCCTCTAAAGACCATGCATGGCTCATTCAAGGTCATTGCTGGGCAATCCCTGGGAGAGACAGCAGACTCAAGAATGGTGTGGCCACGGCGGCTAGACTTTCCGATGGGGGAGCACACTGATGACCAAGGAAAAAAAAACACATCTTCTTAATCAGCAGAGGGAAGTGGGGGAGGGGAACTGTGCTTCCACACACCAGGAGAGAGATAACATTCAGAATCGGGGTCCAAGTTGAAGTCGCCCCCCCAGACAAGACCCCCTCGCTGTGTTCTTCTGTTTGTTTCGCTAAATTGGGGTCAGAGCCAGCATGTCAAACTTCAGAGTGTGGATTTCTGGAGGCGATCAGTGCGCAAGAAGCTGGCTCCCGGGCATGTTGCAGTCGAAATTCAAGCTAAGCTCAGAACTCTCCTCAGGGGGCTACGTAATGGGTATTTTTGGATGCTATGGAATTTAAGTTGGAGCGATTGCACAGTGGATAGGGCGTTTGTCTTGTACGAGGCCGGCGCGGGTTCAATTCCTCTGTCCCTCTTGGAGAGCCTGGCAAGCTACCGAGAGTATCCCACCCACACAGCAGAGCCTGGCAGTCTCCACTTGGGAGTATTAGATATGCCAAAAACAGTAACAACAAGTCTCACAATGGAGACGTTACGGGTGCCCGCTCGAGCAAATTGATGAACAACGGGAGGACAGTGCTACAGTGTTAGGGAATTTAAGCAAGATTTGTCTTAGTCATTTATATGCAGTTTCCAGAAATGCATTGATGTGCTCGAGTCTCAGACATTGCTGTTGGTGTGCCTTTGGTCTGACTGACCACGTGCACAAGTTTTCAGAACATTTCTCTTATTATTTCTGTTAATGGCGGGTCTCGAGTTCTAGGGTGCCTGTGAATCACCCCAGGGACACTGTGAAAACGAAATTCTGGGACCACAGACACTTTGGAGAGTTTAATCCTCATCCCTGCCCCGATAACGCTTAGGCCAGAGACACCTCCACCCCACCCCGTCCCCAAACTCTCACTTGGCCGACAGTGTTCAGAAGTTATTGGCTACGGTAGATGTATCAATGGGTGTGTTGCCCTCCCCCGCCCCCCAAAAAACCTCAGAGGCAGCAGCTGCCCGGGGAGGGCTCTGGGTTGAAGGGTCTTAGGTTGAAGAACCTGGGTGGGGGGTGGGTTTGAAAGGGCGTCCCACCTGCGCCATCTCCTTTTCTTCTGCAGGGGGCGCTTTGGCCAGGTTCACAGGTGCGAAGAGAAAGCCACGGGCCTGAAGCTGGCGGCCAAGATCATCAAGACCAGGACTGCCAAGGAGAAGGTAGGGGCTGTGCAGGAGGGCGTCTCCTGGCTAGGGGTCTGCCCTCACTTCAGGAGCCTCTCCTCCCCTCCCCGTCTCTGGTGGCAGGACGAAGTGAAGAACGAGATCAACATCATGAACCAGCTGGATCACGTGAATCTCATCCAGCTCTACGACGCCTTCGAGTCCAAGAACGACTGCATCCTGGTCATGGAATAGTGAGCATCCCCTCCCGTCCCCTCCCCTGCTCAGCTCCGTCTCCTGGGGGCGGCCCCCCTCCCCATCAGTGTCGGAGAGGAAGTCACTTAGGAGGACCCAACGGCAACCTGTGGGGATTTCGTGGGTGGGAGGTAGGAAGGGGGAGGCCCATCTAACTTTGTGACTGAGCCACACTGCCCAGAGTCCAGATGCAAGTTTATTCTGGGGACGAGGTAGAAAGTAATGTGAGAGGGCTGGAGCGACAGCACAGCGGGGAGGGCTTTTGCCTTGCACACGGCCGACTCGGGTTCGATTCCCGGCATCCCATACTGTCCCCCAAGCACTGCTAGGAGTAATTCCCGAGTGTACGAGCCAGGAGTAACCTCTGAGCATCACTGGGTGTGACCCAAAAAGCACTGTAGCACTGTCCTCCCATTGTTCATCGATTTGCTCGAGCGGGCCCAGTAACGTCTCCATCGTGAGACTTGTTGTTACTGTGTCTGGCATATCGAATACGTCACGGGGAGCTTTCCAGGCTCTGCTGTTCGGGCGGGAGACTTTCGGTAGCTTGCTGGACTCTTCAAGAGGGGCAGAGGAATTGAACCTGGCTTGGCCGGGCCAGCTTTGCGCAAGGCAAATGCCCTACCGCTGTGCTATAGCTCCAGACCCACCCAAAAAGACAAAAAAAAAAAGTAATGTGAGAATTATTCTTGGGAAAGTGATTATTGAATGACACTTCACTTTTGACTTATCTCAGTACAAGGTTCATGGTAAACTCTGTATAACACGAAGTTGCTAGTAAAATCATCTGTCAGGGCTGGGGAGACGGCTCCAAGGGCTGGGGCGCACGCTTTGCTTGCAGGAGCCCTGGGCTTAGTCCCTGGTACCATATGATTCCTTCAGCACTGCCAAGAGTGAGCCCCACCCCCACCCCAAACGCTGAGTGGAGGGCAGCCCTTAGTACTGAATCTCGCGTGATCCATTTCCTCCTCCCCAAAGAATGAAAAGCACCGTGATGACAACCTAGGGACTGGTTAGTGAGAAAGTGAGTTTCGCACACGGGGCATTGTGGTTGGGTTGTGCTCACCTCTCTGCCCCCGAATCCCCAGATGGCCTCTATCTGCCATTGCGCGGGGAGGAATTTTGGATGATGGAAATATCTCGCATCAGCCTCTGAGAAGCGCTTTCTCATTAGAACTAGTCTGGGGAGACCCTGCTGAACCCCCACATGGGGCTGGGACTCCCCCTCCCCAGCTCCTGTTCGTTGGGGAAGGGCCCTGGGTTGAGCCCCACTCCCAGGCCCGGTGACGGAGGGGCCCGGAGCCCACCCAGTCATGAAACGGGCAGCTCCAGCGTGACCCGAATTCAAGTCAGCATGGGGGGTGGGGGAGTGCGGGGCGGGGGGGGGGGGACGGCGAGCACATCTGGGGGAAGGCTCAGCCCCTGGCCACGACAGGAAGTGCTGCTCAGCTGGCCATGTCCCCCACCTGCAGTGTGGATGGGGGTGAGCTGTTCGACCGCATCATTGACGAAAGCTACCGCCTGACGGAGCTCGACGTCATCCAGTTCACCAGGCAGATCTGCGAGGGCGTCCGGCACATGCACCAGATGTACATCCTGCACCTGGACCTGAAGGTGGGCCCCCAAATGGGCACAGGGGGAAACTCGCTGGGTCACAGGTGCCGCTAGGGATGACCAAACTCTGAGTTCTCAGCCTGCTCCCTGCCCCCAGTCGCTGCCGCCCCCTCCTGCTGGTGTGTCCCACTCTGCGGCCCCCTGGGGTGATGAGGCATGTTGAAGGAATTCATGTGGGCAGTGATCTCCCTAGCAGTCTTGATGACAATTGTCACCACCCCCTCCACCAGCATCACCGCCACATTCCCCTCAGAACCCTCCCCCCTACCATCACCATCATCACCACTGCCACCTCCACTGCCATTATCACTAGCATCAGCACCAGCATCTCAACCACCACCTCCACTACTGTTATCACCAACGCCAGCATCAGCATCTTGCCACCGCCACCCTGCCATTACCACCACCACCACTATCATGACTTCCTTATCATCTCCCTTTCATCCTTAGCCCGAGTAGGCGCAAGGTTTGTAAACGATTCAGAATTCCCTCATAGCAATCATATTTTTTTTTTCAGCTCTCTAAGAGTACCCGACGCTGTCAGAAACTTTTCCAGGAAGCTCTGGGCTTTGGGTGGGGGGCTTGAGTTTTCTGTCTGCAGGGTAGCGTGCTAACCCCACGGCAGAATGGGATATGGGCCAGGGAGGGGGCGGGGCAGAGAGAGGCCGTGGGGACGGACAGGGGACCCGGGAGGGAAGACTTCAGGAGCTGAGAGGAACCGAGGCACCTTCCTTTCTCCTCTTGGTGATTGATTTCGGAATCCCCGGCAATGAATGCCCCTGGCCCAAGAGCTCAGAGTAGCTTTCGTACTGGAAAGCATCTTCTTGTGTGGCTCAATCATTTTCCCATTTTCCCGCTTGCCGAGCTTGACAGGCAGATAAATTATGTATTCTGCACCGCATCCCACCTACCCCAGCTCATTGGGGATTGTGGCGCTGAGTCCATTTAACTTCCTTAAATGGGTTTCCACGGGCCTCTCTGCCTGGGTCTTGGCTTGCCTCGCCGGCTTGATTTATGGGCTGCGCCTCTCCCGCTCGCGGGGCAGGAGGAAGCACTACGGAGTAGGGCGAAGCCAGAGGCGGAACAGCATTAGCAAAGCCCCTGGCTCGGGATGGAGTTTGATGATGTGCATTTGGATGGAGCGTTTGCTTCCAGGGTAGAAACTTTGCACGTCTCCCGAAGGGGTTGATTGGCAGCTGGTACTGGAGTTTGACCTGCTGTAGGTCAAACGCTCCACAGAGATGGAGAACGGAGGATGGCCTTTCAGTTGGGGCTGTTTGGGAACGTGGATGATGAAGGGGGTGGTGAAGACCGGCCGTCTGATTCAGGAAGCTCCTTGCAAGGAAACAGGATCCAAACCCTTAGCAGGGCTTACGACTCCTCCGGTAGTTTATTTTTATTTTATTTTATTATTATTTTTTATTTTTTTGCTTGTTGGGTCACACCCGGCGATGCACTGGGGTTACTCCTGGCTCATGCACTCAGGAACTACTTCTGGCGGTGCTCCAGGGACCATATGGGATGCTGGGAATCGAACCTGGGTCGGCTGTGTGCAAGGCAAACGCCCTCCCCGCTGTGCTATCGCTCCAGCCCTCCTTCAGTAGTTTTGAGGGGACTTCAAACTGCTCCCCGTTATTTGTTCTGTGTTTGGAACTCCTTCCCCAGTGCATATGCTTAACTTTAATCATTAGAGAAAAATAACTTTGGAAGGCCCCTGGGTCGGAGTGAGAGTACAGCGGGTAGGGAATTTGCCTTGCATGCAGCTGACCTGGGTTAGATCCCTGGAATCTTGTATGGTTCCCCAGAACACCGTCAGGAGTAATTTCTAAGCGCAGAGCTGGGAGTAAGCCCTGAGCGTTGACCCAAAAAGAAAAGAAAAAAGGCTATTTCTCCACCTTCTCCAAATAATTTTTATTTTATTTTATTTTTTATTAGTGAAACACCATGAGATACAGTTGTAGACTTACAAGTTTTTGTGCTTGTGTTTCAGTTGTACAATGATCGAGTACCCATCCCTCCACCAGTGCCCATTCTCCACCCCCACCAATCCCAGTATCCCTCCCACCCCCCATCCCCCATTGCAAATACTTTTTAAGCCCATTCTTCTTCATTGAGTATTTTTTTTTTTGGAGGAATGTACCATACCTTGCAGTACTCAGACCTTACTCCTGGCTCAGTGCTCAGGGGACCATAGTCGGTGTCAGGAACTGAAGCAGGGCTGGCTGCGGTGAGGGGAGTGCCTTCACCCCTGTCGTACCTCTCTGGCTCACACTGCACAGCTCTGTGCATGGCCCACTCGTAGGAGCACAAACGCAAGTGCTTTTCTAGTTCTCCGGCTTCTCCCTGAGTAGCTTTTAGATACAGACATCCATGTTGGGGGGACACCAAAGGGAATATTGATCTCTGGTGAGGAGACGCCAAGGCCACCCACCGTCGCTTCTGAGGAAGGCAGGGGAGGGTCAGCTGGACCCACCAGAGGAGGAAACAGGGTTAGGGGAAGAGAGGCACAGACACCTCCAGGGCTCTGGGCAATCTTGGTCTCCCTCCTTCCCTTCCTTCCTTCCTTCCTTCCTTCCTTCCTTCCTTCCTTCCTTCCTTCCTTCCTTCCTTTTTCCCCTTCCTTCCTTCCTTCCTTCCTTCCTTCCTTCCTTCCTTCCTTCCTCCCTTCCTTCCTTCCTTCCTTCCTTCCTTCCTTCCTTCCTTCTTCCCCTTCCTTCCTTCCTTCCTTCCTTCCTTCTTCCCCTTCCTTCCTTCCTTCCTTCCTTCCTTCCTTCCTTCCTCCCCTTCCTTCCTTCCTTCCTTCCTTCCTTCCTTCCTTCCTTCCTTCCTTCCTTCTTCCCCTTCCTTCCTTCCTTCCTTCCTTCCTTCCTTCCTTCCTTCCTTCTTCCCCTTCCTTCCTTCCTTCCTTCCTTCCTTCTTCCCCTTCCTTCCTTCCTTCCTTCCTTCCTTCCTTCCTTCCTTCCTTCCTTCCTTCCTTCCTTCTTCCCCTTCCTTCCTTCCTTCCTTCCTTCCTTCTTCCCCTTCCTTCCTTCCTTCCTTCCTTCCTTCCTTCCTTCCTTCCTTCCTTCTTCCCTCTCTCCCTCCCTCTTCCCACCTCCCTCCTCCCTCCCTTCCTTCCTCCCTCCCTTCCTTCCTCCCTCCCTCCCTTCCTCCTTTCCTTCCTTTCTTCCTCCCTTCCTCTCTTCCTCCCTCCCTCCCTCCCTCCCTCCCTTCTTTCTTTCCTCCCTTCCCTTCCTCCCTCCTTCCCTCTCTTCCTTTCTCCCTCCCTCCCTCCCTCCCTCCCTCCCTCCCTCCCTCCCTCCCTCCCTCCCTCCCTCCTTCTCTCCTCTCTCTGTCTCTCTGCCTCCCTGCCCCCTTCCTTCTCTTTCCTTCTGGATTTTAGATAAAGTTCCTAGTTTTCCTTCCATACCTCCATTTTTCTGCCTCAGCGGATGCCCATACGTTGTAACCTGTCCCGTCCTCACGGGCGGGAGGGGGACACTGTCTCTCAGACTGGCCGGGCAGCGCTTCCTCGGCCTGGAAGGCTGGGGGTGCTGGGAGCTTGGGGCCCTGGGACCCAACTCCAAATGTCGGAGCTGTCAGACTGAAGCCCGTTTCTGGAGCTGTGACTTCCCCTCAGACAGAGGCCGGGGGCTGGGGGCGCGCAGCACAGCATATTACACTTGCAATGAGGCTGCCTGAAAGAATCAGGCCATTTCTCCTGGAACTCATAAATCCTTGGGAAAAGGAGTCCTGCAAGACGGGGAAACTCAGACTTAATAACGTTCGGGGACAGATGTCAAGGCCGGGCCGGCCCCCGCCAGCTCCTTTGGAATGTTCCCAGGCTCGCCCCTCTGCCTTCCTTCCCCTGACTCCGACGACGACGGGCAGTGCCGGAGGAGGGGGAGGCCGGGCTGGGTACCGCGAGGTTGGCAGGGCACCCGCCACCGCACCCACCACATAATTAAAGGAGAAAACACCCAGACGGACGGCCAGCCCCACAGCGAGCGGCCTGATATGTTTTCCCTGAGCATCGCTGTATTTTTAGTTGTGGTTCAAGGACAATTTGAGTGAGTGATGGTTGTTTTCATTGCTAATGTGTCTCTTTCTCCTGGCAGCCTGAGAATATCCTGTGTGTGAATCGGGATGCTAAACAAATAAAGATTATTGATTTTGGATTGGCCAGAAGGTACGTCTGTTTGGACAGAGAGCATGAATGAAGAAGTGACGGGGCACGGGAGAGGCTCCTTCTTTGCAGAGATAAATCTGATCCATGCGGCCCCGCGGCTTCCTGGGTTCCCGACTCTCCTTGAGATTGAGCCGAGCACAAAATTATGTTCGGCTTGACCTGCCGATATTCGTATCTGGAGGTCTAGAAGTTTCGAGAGCGCCCAGTAAGGAAAAAAAAATATATATATATATGTGAAAAGTTCATACCTAGTCCTGGGAAGAGACTCTGTCTGAGGCTGATAGCTTGGACTGTGCAAGCGATTTTAGAATTTTGTGCTGTTTCCTCAGTCGAGAGAGGACTTGCCTTCCAGTCATTTATAGTGGAAACAAGCCTGCAGAGGGCTCTGACCAGATGAACTTTTTGGGGGACTATAGTGATCCCATGGGCTTCAGTTCATGAGCCCAAATCACAGAAAATGGGTGTTGTGAGTGAGTGACTCTCGCTTCTTCACCAGTGAGATTTATCGACGCCAACACCATGTCAAGGACCGGGTCTGTCTTCGTCTTTTCAGAACCTCTAGCTGAGGTGGCCAGCTCATTTTGGAAGCTGGAGTCTCTCTGCAGGCTTTAGAGAGCATCTTTGAGGTCCCAGAGTCCCTGAAAAGTCTTTCGTGTTCAATTCGCTATGTCCTCTGTCTTGGCCCCAGTCACTCGGCCTCGTGGGCTTCTTTCTCTGTCGCGTGCCCCGGGGTCCTGGTTAATCTCCGAACCCCGTCACATTGTCTCCCAAACTCCAGATACAAACCCAGGGAGAAGCTGAAGGTGAACTTTGGAACCCCAGAATTTCTCGCTCCGGAAATCGTCAACTATGATTTTGTCTCCTTCCCCACGGACATGTGGAGTGTGGGGGTCATCACCTACATGCTGTAAGTGGACCTTGGGTTCTCAGCCGCCTTGTGGGTTCTCTGGGCGTTTCCCCCTTGAGTCTGAGAAGTGGGGACCGGCAGCCCTTCGCCCTTCCTTGCTTCCTTGAAGGGAACGATCTTTACTTAGTAACTGAGTCACAGTCCCTCCGCGTCCCAGCTGAGTGTCCTCCTCTAGGAGAAGAAGCTTGTGTTCTCCTGTCCCTGATGACAAACTTGAGCCTGTCCCCAGGGCGCCTGCCTGGGCGTTGCCCCTGAGCTACTGCTGGCTGGACAAGCTTCTTCTTCTTCTTCTTCTTTTTTTTTTTTAATAAATTTGTTTATTGAATCAGCGTGAGTTCAAAGCTTTCAGGTTTAAGTCTCGGTCATACAATGATCAAACACCCGTCCCTTCACCAGTGCCCATTTTCCACCACCAAAAACCCCAGTATCACCCTCATCCCACCCCCCTCCCCCTACCTGTGTGGCAGATGATTTCCCCATGACTCTCTCTCTACTTTGGTTCAATTCAATATTTTGACACTAGACCCACCATTATTACTTGGGATATTCCCCAAACACTCAAACCTGCCAAAAAAGACAACATGAGACAATTTGTTTTCTTTTGCTGATTATGAATAGCATATGACTAGCGGCCGCGCGATTTTGGAATTCTGAAATTTTAATAATTAAACCTGGAGGGATTTCTGCCAAAAGCCGCTGGGTTCCGAGTTTCACTTGTGTGTCTCTGGGATCATGGCCATTAATTAAGCAACTTGATCAGTAGCCGGAGGAACCGTTTGTGAGTGGCGACTTGGAGTCTTTTTGGGGTGGGGGAAGTCATGGACAAGCGTTTTAGCGTAGCGGAAGCAGCCCACTCCTGTGGGACGTGGCTGGGCATGCTGGCACCCTCCTAGCTGCGGCCGTTTCAGGGCGTCTGGGGGTGCGAGGGTAAGAAACGAACGTTTTCTCGGTCTCAGAGATTCACAGTCACCCGCTGCCTGATCGCTAGGCCTGTCTCTGTGTGTCAAGGGAGAATGGAACCCCAGCGATGCGGAACACTCACTCTGCCTCCCGTGTCTTCCAGGCTGAGTGGCCTGTCCCCGTTCCTGGGTGACAACGACACGGAGACCCTGAACAACATCCTGGCCTGCAGGTGGGACCTGGAGGAAGAAGAATTTCAGGGCCTTTCGGACGAGGGCAGGGAGTTCGTCACTAAGCTTCTGACGAAGGAGAAGAAGTAAGCTGGGCCCATCCCTGCCGAGAGGCCACGGGCGGGGGGGGGGGGGGAGGACCGTGTCCAGGCCCTCAGGGTGGGGCTCCTCACGATGAGCTTCCTCTCTGGCACCTCCCGAGCTTAGGCAGCAGTGGTGGTGAACAGAGGGAGTTTGGTGCTCTGGAGCTCTGGGACTATGTTGCTCCCGGGCTGAAAGCCAGCTTCTAGAAGCTTCCATTCATCCCTTTGGATTTTGGCAATAAGATTCCAGCAATTAGTGGCTCCTCCCAGGCCCAAGGCCACAGCCAAAGGCCATTACCATAGAGTAAATTGCAGGGGTACAAAAATAAACGCAAAACTGTATTAATATTCTAATTTGGAGGACAACGTTAGGGGTACCTGTATAATAAATGTTAAGCTTGGCCCGTGGGTGAAAGGCTACTGATCGGTCAGTGCTGTGTGCCCCCAGCAGGCTTCTGGGCTCTGATCCTGAGGGTCACACCTTCCGGTGGAGGCTAGTGTGTGTGTGTGTGTGTGGGGGGGGGGGGGTTAGCATGTTCCTCTTCAATTCTGGATACCCATATGAGGCCCTGCTCCGTGCTGGGGCTGTCATTATTACGCTCTGCTTCACTGACCCAACACAAGCTCTGGTCCTCGACTTGAATGTTTGCTAGCTGGCCAAGCAGTTCTGCAGCCTACGAGCCCAGGCTTTAGGGCTTCGTGAAATGACTCTCTTTCTTTGTGTTCAAACAGGGGCCACCCACAGTGGGGCTGGCATGGAGGCACCACACCTGGTGCTGTTGTGGGCTGGTAACTTGGTGCTCAGGCTGGTGGTCTTTCGCCCACACTCCAAGAGGAGGGGTCCTGGGAACCCACCCCAGAGCCCAGCACCACCAGGCACGGTGCCTGCCACCTGCTGGAAGCAACTTTCTTTCTTTCTTTTTTTCCCCTGTTATTTCTATTTTTGTTTGGGGCCTCCCAAGTAGTGTTTGGGAGCCCAGTGGGGGCCCCGCCAGCAATTCTCAGCAAACTGGGCTGGCAGTTCGTGCAAGGGCCAGTGGGCACAGGGCTGCTGGACCTTGTGTGGCTGGGCAATCTCTGAGCCACCTGGCTGTGTCCAGGGGCCTCCAGGGCAACACCCAGTGATGCTCAGGGACCAGTTTGAGTAGGAACCATTTTGACCACTGCAGTCTCTCCCGGTGCCCCTGGAAACTCCCTTATGGAGATAGTTTCAAGGAGACTTTTTTTCTAATTAAAAAAAATTTTTTTATTAGTGAAATACCATGAGGTACAGTTATAGACTTACAAATTTTTGTGCTTGGGTTTCAGTTATACAATGATGAAGTACCCATCCCTCCACCAGTGCCCATCATCCACCACCACGAGTCCCAGCATCCCTCCCACCCCCCCCCCCCCCGTCCCCCCATCCCACCCTGCCTCTGTGGCAGGACATTCCCTTTTGTTCTCTCTCTCCTTTTGGGTGCTGTGGTTTGCAAGAGAGGCAATGGGTGACAATCATGTTTGGTCTATAGTCTACTTTCAGCATGCTTCTCCCATCCTGGGAGGATCCTCCAAACACCCTTTATTTGGTGCTCTCTTCTCTATCTGAGCTTCCTTTTCCCCTAGCACATGTGTCTGGCCTCCAAGTCATGGAGCAAAATTCTCAAGGAGACTTTTGATTGTTTTTTATTTTGCATGAGTTTTGATTTAACTCCAGCACACAAAGTAAAGTCTATAAAGATGATCACACTCTTTGTTCTTCTGCATCATATACTTTTTAAGACTTATATAAGGCTTTAGGGCTGGAGCAGTAGCACAGCAAGGAGGGCGCTTGCCTTGCATGCGGCCAACCCGGGTTCAATTCCTCCGTCCCCTCGGGAGCCTGGAAAGCTACCGAGAGTATCCCGCTCGCACGGCAGAGCCTGGCAAGTTCCCCGTGGCATATTCAATATGCCAAAAACAGTAACAAGTCTCAAGATGGAGATGTTACTGGTGCCCGCTAGAGCAAATTGGTGGACAATGGGAGGGCAGTGCTACAGTGCTATATAAGGCTTTGTTGGGTCAAAGGATCTTTGTCAAGGTAGAAAGTACATTTTGAATAGCTGTATTAACTCTCCCTCTGTTTCCCAATCTATCAAACGTCTCAAAAGTTAGGTAAAAGGTAAAGGCCCTCCCGTTGATCGTCGATTTGCTCGAGCGGGGCCCAGTAACGTCTCCATTGGAGACTTTGTTGTTACTGTGTCTGGCATATCGAATACTCTCGGTAGCTTGCCGGGCTCTCCGAGAGGGGCTGAGGAATCGAACTCGGGTCGGCCATGTTGGCCGCTTGTAAGGCGAACGCCCTACCCGCTGTGCTGTACTAGTAGCATACAAATGTATATTCGTAGTAGTAAGATATATAAATGGCTTTTGTAACCACCCAAAACCATGGTGGCATTTTCTTCTTACAAAATAAATACACATATTTATTCTTCAACAAACCGGATTGATGATTCTGGGGCATTGCACCAAGAATAGTCACTCTTGGGAAAGTAGATGCTCTGTTTTTAACAAGAGTTTGCCGTGAGTCAAGAGGGTTTTCGTGGCTGAACCCCGGGCTCTGCTGGTGGGACGTGGGGGGTGAGCTCCCCTCCCCCACAGGGGGGCACAGTTCTAAGGAGGCTGGGATGCTCTGTGAGTGCTATACCCAGACATGAGGTCTACCAAATCAGCGTCCTGCCTTGAGGGTGGGCAGGGACTCAAGCCCCCTTTGCTTTTTAGTTTTTATTTTTTTAATTCAGTGAAATACCATGAGGTACAGTTGTAGACTTACAAATTTTTGTGCTTGGGTTTCCGTTGTACAATGATCGAGTACCCATCCCTCCACCAGTGCCCATTTTCCACCATCACGGGTCCCAGTATCCCTCTCACCCCCCAACCCCCCATTCCACCCTGCCTCTGTGGCAGGGCATTCCCTTTTGTTCTCTCTCTCCTTTTGGGTGCTGTGGTTTGCAAAAGAGGCAATGGGTGGCAATCATGTTTGGTCTATAGTCTACTTTCGGCATGCTTCTCCCATCCTGGGAGGATCCTCCCAACACCCTTTATTTGGTGCTCTCTTCTCAGTCTGAACTTCCTTTTCCCCTAGCACATGTGACTGGCCTCCAAGTCATGGAGCAAAATTCCTGGTACTAATCTCGGTCACTCCTGGGTGTTAGTCTCCCATTTTGTTGCTTTATGTCCCCCAGATGAATGCCATCTTTCTATGTCCATCCCTCTCTTTCTGACTCATTTTGCTTAGCATGGTACTTTCCATGTAGTACCACTTGTATGTAAATTTCATGACTTCATCTTTTCTAACAGCTACATAGTACTCCATTGCATAGATGTACCAAAGTTTCTTTAACCAGTCATCTGTTCTCGGGCACTCAGGTTTTTTCCAGATTCTGGCTATTGTCAAGAGTGCCAAGCCCCCTTTGAGTGGGTCCTGCCTAACTGCTCCCTGTATTTCCCCTTAGCTGGAGAATCAGCGCCAGTGAAGCCCTCAAGCACCCTTGGCTGGCAGACCCCAGGCTGCACTGCAGACTGCGCACCCAGGTACCACCGCCTCCCCTCTCCCTTCTCGGATGCCCCCGTGCCTGCACCATCAGAAGTCAGAGAAAATGAGGTTCTGGGTCTCCTCCTGCCTTCAGACCCTGGTCTTCTGCGGAATAGCTCACAGTGCTGAGACGTGTGTGGTGTGACGGGGGCACTCGTGTGTGGGGCAGTGCAGGGTCTGCCCAATGTGTTTCGTGACGGTCCCTCTGGGTCCGGGCATCCTTCATAAGACGAGTGACAGCACCTTACTCCACACGTGCAGGGCTCTCTCCTACCCACCGCCGTCCCCTCGACGACCCGCTCCCTGGCGCCTGTGTCCATGTGGCCCCCGCTCTCCACCCCCCGGGGCTTGGGGATGGCGCCTTCTCACCCACTGACCCGCCTTGGAATACGGTACTCTGCCCCAAGTACTCATTATTTCCCACATCCAGTTTTTATTGAAATTAACTTGACTTCTAAATTCGGTGGCAGCACCAACTTTTTATTTGTGTCTGAATATACCTTTCCTTGATAATTGGTACCGATGTCAAGTAAAAATAGACTTATTACCTCGCCGGTACCTCGCCCAGACTACATAAACTGCTTATTAGGGTTACCAACTTATTTTGGGCCAATTTTCCACCCCAAGTATTTTTACCCCACTTGATTGGTGGCCAAATCCACATTGCCATGGCAGGACAATATAGAAACCACAGCAGATAATTAATGACACCGTATGGTTTGAAAATATTTTTAAGGCTATGTAGCAACAACAAAATCACCTTTCTGTTATTCTGTGTCACGACTGGTATCCAAGGTATGAAGGGATATTTCAGGAGTGGTGAGGATTCAAAAAAAAAATATTTCCTTGTGTAAATCTAGTTAGTTGTCATGGAAGTTATAATTATAGTGTTGTGCCAAGCACCAGACCCCTGGTGCTTTACGAAAATTAACTCATTTAATCCTCTGGAGTTCTGCTTCCTGTGGACATGAAGGACCGGAGTTAAGTCTTTGTCCAGAGTCCAGCCAGGAGTGGACTCAGGGCCTCCCCCACTGCACGCTGATGGCCGCAGAGCCCAGACTCTGCCCTCAGCCCCGGGCAGGGGCGCTGCACCCTGGGGCCCAGAGAGAAACTTCTCACGGCGTTGTGGGACTCCGGTTCATTTTATCAAGTGCCTGAGTTCTGAGGGGGGCTTCACGACCTGAACTTTCCCTGGAAACTTTCACTCTTAAATTGCTTGACTATTTAAATTCTAGTTTGTGAGAAGCCTTTTTAATCTACTTTGATGTCTCTCTCTTCTGGCTTCATGCTTAAAGGCACTTGCTCATTTTAGTTTTACCACCCAGCACACCTATAATTTTTTTTTTATTCATGAAACACCATGAGGTACAGTTATAGACTTAGAAATTTTTGTGCTTGGGTTTCAGTTATACAATGATCAAGTACCCATCCCTCCACCAGTGCCCATTTTCCACCACCATGGGTCCCTGCCACAGAGGCAGGGTGGGATGGGGGGAATGGGGGGTGGGTGGGATGGGGGCAATGGGGGGTGGGAGGGATGCTGGGACCCGTGGACACCTATAATTTTATAATGAATCGCTTACATTGCAGAAGAATGGATCGGGGTCACACCTCTGGCTGGCAGAGCCGGCATCCAGGCTCCCGCACACCGGGAGTGCTCTGTTCCCTGCACTATCTCTCTGGCCCAAGGAGAATTTTATTTTCTAATCAGAAATTAGCCCTGTTAGGCTGGAGTGATAACACAGCAGGGAGGGTGCTTGCCGTGCACGTGGCAGACTGAATTTTTTAAAAAATTATCTTATTTTATTTTTTATTTTTAAATTGACTCACCATGCTGAGACCACTCTCCGCACACATGAAGGTACCGGCAGAGGGACAAAGCCACGTGGGTTCCAGGGCCGAGATCTCCAAGCCTACTCAGATTGGAGTCGAGCATCCTCCACCCAGATCCTCCAAGTTCCAGTAGGCGGGGGTCACACCCACCACCTGGCCCCCTGACGCCGTGAAATCCCATCAACGGCCAAGACTCAGAGACTATAAAATTCAGCTCCCATGCGGCCACGCAACATCTTATCAGGACATCTTTTTATGACATCTCACTATCTCATTCCTACTTTGACAAACTGGCAGGCTATTGAATGTAGCCTGCCCACAGGGCAGAGTCTGGCAAACTCCCCGTGGCGTACCCAATATGCCAAATACCAGTAACAATGATGGGTCTCATTCTCCTAAAGAGCCTTGAATATAATCTCAGGGCTAGGATGAAGGAGACGTTACTGGGGCCTGCTCGAGGCAATCGACAAATAACAGGATGATGAATGAATGAATGAAATTGACTCACCATGAGATCACAGTTACAAAGCTTCTATGTTTGAGTTTCAATCAACAATGACCAAACACCCATCCGTCCACCAATGTCCCCATATGTCCCCCCGTTTCTCAACCCTCCCCCTGCCTCCATGGCAGACAATATTCCCCAGACTCTCTCTCTACTTTGGGGCATTATGGTTTGCAATACAGATACTGAGAGGCCATCCTGTTTGTTCCTTTATCGACTTTCAGCACACCTCTCCCTTCCCGAGCGATCCCTCCAACCATCCAACCATCATTGACTAGGTGATCCCTTCTCCATCCCAGTCTCCGTCTCCCTCTGCCCATGAGGCAGGCTGCCGACTGAGGGTCAACATTCCTGGCCCTTATGGCAGATTGGATTTGATCCCTGACACCCCACCCAGTCCCCCAAGCCCGCCAGGAATGTCCCCCGAGAGCCGAGACAGGAGTAAACCCCCAGCACTGCTGGGTCTGGTCCCCAAACAAAACAAAGCCCAAAGAAATTAGCTCTAAAGTTCTGCACGATCCTGGTCTCTGCCTCTCAGCCATGTTTGTGGGGCAGCTTCAGCAGGGCTCAGGGGCTACTCCTGGCTCTGTGCCCAGGCGTAACTCCTGGAAGTGCGCTGGAGACCATCTGGGGTACTGGGCATTGAACCAGGGTTGACTGCAAGCACGACAAACTCCTTAACCCCTGCACTGTCTCTCGGGTCTTTTTGCTCTCCCCAACCTCCCGCCTTCCCTCCCATCCAGAGCCCAGACGGGCTGAGCAGAGCAGCCCAGAAGAAGCCTTTGCACCTCCTGCACCTCCTGTCCTGTAACTGGGTAATGAGTCCGAGCTCTCTCTACACAGTCCCTGAAATCAGGGTTTCTCTGGTTGAAACAAGAGACGCCTCTGGGCTCCAGTGACCTTCATGGTCCACTGTCCACTGTCCATCCCCACCCCTGGCCCAACCAAACTTAGGGTCCTGAGTCTCTTGATTGCTGAGTCTGAGGCGTGTGTGTGTGTGTGTGTGTGTGTTGGCTTTTTGGGTCACACCCGGCGATGCTCAGGGGTTCCTCCTGGCTCATGCACTCAGGAATTCCTGGCGGTACTCGAGGGACCATATGGGATGCCGGGGATCGAACCCAGGTTGGTTGTGTGCAAGGCAAATGCCCTCTCCACGGTGCTATCACTCCAACCCCCTGAGGCCTATTAGAAATCCCTGCCCACCTTGGAGGCGCCCTCTCTGTCCTCTCAGACCCTCCCACACCCCCATCATCCCTCTTCTCTGGCACATTTGGAAGATGCCGATTCTGGGTCGGGCCCGTGTCGTGCTCTTCCAGTCCTGTCTGGGTAAACTCAGGAGCTGAGGCAGACGTTTGTCCAAGAGGCTTAGACGCAAGGGATGGCCCGGGGCAGAGCTCTTCACCCTGACCCAGAGTGGACGGGAGGGCTGACGGCGTCTCAGGGGGGAAACGGGGTGTCCTCCAGCTGGTCTGTGGAGGGAGGGGTCAGTAAAGAACATGAGCCCTTGGACACCAAGAGCTTCTGCATAAGAACCTTCGCATGGGCAGGGCTGGGGAGAGGAGTCCTCACCTCCAACTGTCTCCTCCTTTCGTAGAAGCAGCAACGTCCCGCGGGGGCCCGGGACCCCACCGACAAATAGTCTGCAGAAGGCACTGGACAGGTGGGTCTCGGATCTCTGCCCCGGGTGTGTGTGTGTGTGAGGGGAGGGGAGGGAGAGAGAGAGGGAATGAGACAGAGGGAGAGAGAGAGGGAGAGAGAGAGAGAAAGAGATAGAGGGAGAGAGGGAGGAGGGAGGGAGGGAGAGAGACAAAGAGAGAAAAAGGGAGAGAGAGGGAGAGAAAGAGAGAGGGGGAAGGATAGAGGGAGGGAGAGAAGGGGAGAGAGAGGGAGAGGAAGAGAAATGGAGGGAGAGAGAGGGAGAGAGGAAGAGAGTGGGGCAGAGAGAGGGAGAGAGGGAGAGAGAGGAAGAGAGATGGAGGGAGAGAGAAGAAGAGAGAGAGGGAGAGAGAAAGAGGGAGAGAGGGAGAAAGAGAGGGAGAGAGAGGAAGAGGGAAAGAGAGGGAGAGAGGGAGAGAGAAGAAGAGAGATGGAGGGAGAGAGAGGAAGAGAGAGCGAGAGAGAGAGAGAGAAAGAGGGAGAGAGAAAGAGGGAGAGGGAGAAAGAGAGGGAGAGAGAGGAAGAGGGAGAGAGAGAGGAAGAGAGAGGGAGGGAAGGGAGGTGCACTGTGCATTCTCTGTGGACAGTGGGAGCTGGACAGGACAGTGCGACCCCCAGCCCAGGTGTCCGGCTGTCCTTGCTGGACTCACCCCTGGGCTCTCAGCCCTCCTAGCACAGCGGCCTCAGTTTCCTGTTCTGTGCAGGGGTGGGGGCGCGTGTCGTGAGTCTGGTTGGGCCCCCAAGGGGAGACGGAGCCCGGGCTGGTGGTGTCCAGTCCGCTCAGGGGAGTGCGTCCTGCCGTGGCTGTGCCTGTGCCCTGAGTGCTCTTCCCCAAGTCGGGGGTTGTGGTCTCTGCCCTCCCCTCCCTCTTGTCCCCGGGGGTCTTTCCTGGGAGCCGCTGGGCTCATGGGATCCCTTGAAACTGCGGCGGGAGCTGAGGCCGACACAAGATCCACGAGATCAGTGGATCTTACTTAGAAACTCCCAGACGGGGGCCAGGGACCAGCACAGGCTCCTTTCCGCTGCCCAACAAAGCGCGCCAATCCCCGTGAGACCCCTCGCCCCACGTCCTCTCCCGAGCAGCATGGCTGTAGCCCTGGTGCCCCCAACACCTCTGGGCATCCCTGGGTGTCCCCACCATAGCCTTAGCCATGAGCCCCGAGTTGGGCAGGCCAAGCGTCACCAGGAACGGCCCCTGGGGTCCTCTCGGCATTCTTGGGACTCCCCCCCCCCCCCCATGGCCTCCAAAACATAAAATCAAGAGTCGGGGACTCGTCGGGCCGTGGGTGGAGGGACAGCTCACTTAGGCATCTAGCACTTCTCTAGAATTTTCTGGGAAGTGGACGAGACTTTTAAGTAAATGGTCTCTGCTTACAAAGAACATATTGATCGTCGGAATAGCAAGGGCAGTAACGCTCAGGGCAGGGTGAGCTGTGGCCTGAGTCGGGGGCCTCTGTGCGGGCAGGGGTCCCTCCCCTCCGCTCCCCCACGAGTCCGCTCCCCAGAGGCAGTTTCCTGATCCGTAACCACAAACCACTCCCCGCCCTCCACACTGGGGCCACTCTGGCCACCTGGTGGGAATTCGCTGATCCTTGGGGGGCGGGGTGGGGGGTGTCGCCAGACCCTGGGGTGGGAATGAGGGGGCAGCGGTGGCAGAGATGGCAGGAAACCTTGGAAGCCGTGTTGGGGGTTTGGTTTGGTTCTCTTAGGCCACACCTGGCAGTGCTCGGGGCTTATCGCTGGCTCTGTGCTCAGGGGTCACTCCTGGTGGGAGTCACTCCAGGGGTCACTCCTGGTGGTCACAGGGTCCCGTGTGGGGAGCCAGGGAGGGAACCCAGGGCGGCTGTGTGCCAGGCGAGTGCCCTGCCTTCTGTCCTCTCTCCCCAGCCCCCTGGTTGGGATTTGGATCCAACTTGAGGGGGTCAGTGCTCAGTGGAGGGCCAGGTGGGGGTGCAGAGGTGGGGGCCTGGGAGTGGGGCCCAGTGACACTAGACGCCTCTTTACATGGCCCTGGGTGGCTCTGGACCCTGGACATGACCAGGGTGAGCTGCCCTGGTGCCCTGGGAGCTGCCGTCTCAGCACGGTCCTGGGGGAGACGGAGGGCACCTCTCATGTGACTCTCAAAGTCTCTCATCCCCCCTGCCCAAATGATAACGTTCACTGCAGACTGCAACTCTGGGCGCTGCCTCCCTAATTGAGAAGAATGTTAAGACAACACACACACACACACAAACACGCACAACCACATGCACACACACACAAACATGCACAACCACATGCACACACTGTACACACACGCACACGCACACACGCACATGCACACGCACGCACGGACGCACAGGCGCGCGCACACACACGCACACATGTCCACACACATCCACACACATGTACACATGCACGCACACACATGTGCACACACGTTCACACATGCACACATATGTATGCGCACACACGCACATACACACACGCACACACATGTTCACGCACATGTATACACGTATGCACACACATACGAGCATGCACACACGTACACACACGCACATATACATACATGCGCGCACACACACGCACACACATGCACACATGCTCCCTGATCGTTCCTCATCGTACGATTTCCTGCCGGGGTAGGGCAGGGCTCGAGGGCACACTCTCTCCTGAGGAAAACCAACTTTGAGATAATATTGATTTTTAAAATCCAGCGGTTGGAAGTGATTCCTGTGGAAAAGGAACCGGCCCGCGGACGCAGGCTGAAGGCGACCTCTCAGTGCAGGAAATAAATCTCCGGCAATTTGTTCGAGGTTTCTTTTGGGGAGGGGGTGTGTGGAGGAGAGGCTATAAAGCCTCCACCTGGCGGCCTGCTGGCCTCCCTGGCCAGCCCGGCGGAGGGGGGTGACCGCCTCCCAGAAGCTCCGGAGGCCAAGGCCGCCAGAGGGGCGGGGGTGGGTGGGTGTGGGGCCCCCGTGAGGTGGCGGAGAAGCAAATGGGGAGATTCCCACGGGCCCCTGCAGCTCCTTTGATGCCGCCCCAGCTGACAGGGCTTAGGGCGCTGGGCCTGCTGGGCCTCACGGTTAACAAAGACCGGCCTTGTCCTGCAAGGCTGCCACGAGGCCAAAAATAGCTTGCATAGACTTAAAAAAAAAAAAAAAGGCAAGAAAAAGGCATAAAAACACCCCAAACCCCAAACCACCCAGCTCTGGTCCTCAGCGGGACCCATCAAGGAAGGACTGTCTCCCTCTCGCGTCCTCACACACGCACATTCTCCGAAGCCATTTGTGGTTGCCCCTGGGGTCCCCCGGCCCCGCTAATTACCGTTTTCAAAGCCCCGCTGAATTAACCAGAGTCCTGTTTTTTTGTTTGCTTTGCAGGAAAACTGCTGTTTGGAGAAGATTTTTTTTTTTTTGGAAAAATCAGCAACTCAGCTGCCTTGACCCTCGGGTGATGGGTGACCGGAGTCAGGGAGTCGCCTCTTGAACTTGGGGTGACTCAGCCGCACGCCGGGGGTGCCCTGTCCTGCCACCCTGGGGTGGGCAGCGTCCTGCTTGGCGCCCCTTTCTCACCTCTCTGCCCCGTGGTCGGCGTGGTGGAGCACTTTCCCTGCCGTGTGGAGTTTTTTGTCATTTTAGTGTAGTTTGAGGCTCTCGGCCCTGGAGCCGTCCTCCGTACGGGAGATTTTAGTTGCGTGTTGAGAGTCTGGAAGTTGTGTTGGGAAAACAGTTTCTCATCCTTCAGGGGCGGAAGGTCTAAGAATTCCTGCAGGTCCTGAGGTCCCCGCTGCCCGGACCCCGGCGGGTGTGAGGGGCGGGCGTCGCCCTTTCTGGAACACAGCTTGGGTTGGATTTGCTGGTTCTTGTTTTCGAGACCAGAGACCTTTCCTGCCTCCCCTTCAGGCTGGCAGGCGCTTTCCCCAGCGCTGCCCTGTTCTGATGAGGGCCGTGAGTGGGCCCCCATTTTTGAGGAACTGGAAGGGGGTACCTGGGTGGGCTTCATCCTTCAAGTGTCAACCGGGAGCAAACGCTCACCACATGCCTCTCCCTGCCCAGAAGCAGACAGCAGCTCCCTGCGGACTTGGGGGGGGGGGAGTCCCCCAGTTCCGGGCTGAGCACAGACATTCATGAGGGGCCATGTCCTCCCCCACTCCCCATCAGACCCCCCTCAGCTCAACTGCCAGGAGGAGGAACATCCAGAAACCAGAGGTGCTCTGGGCCCCCCTACTCACTTGGGGTGACAGTGACGGGTCTGGGGCTTCCCCCGCTAATAAGGGAAGGTTCCCCGGGGCCCCCTCCGGAGGGAACCGACCCCTCATTTGTTGTGGAAGATGGAGGGGCGAGCCCCCCGGCTCCCACCCACCCTTCCCTGTACCCCCTCGGCTCCCTACTCTCTGTTTACATTTTCCACCTCTACTTGGGGGGCGACCGCAGGCTTGAGGTCAGACAAGAAAGTCTGATTTTTAGACGCCAGTGGGCCTGCCCACCCCGAGTTCCCGGTTGTTGCCCCAGCGAGGAAGCGAAACGCACACCACGATGTCAGTGGGATGGCGACGGCTTCGTGTGCCTGGTCCGGCCTCACTTCTTTGCTCAGGCCCACATCCTGTGCCCCCCGAGCGTGCCCACGACTCGGTATAGAGTCCCCCTCTGCCGTGGGGTCAGCGAGCAGGAGGCCTCAAGAAGCAAAAATGCCAACTGCCCAATTTGGTGCTCAGGCGAACTAGAAAGAGCACTAGAAAGAGGACTCGGCTTGACCTCTGCTCGGACCTTCGGAGGCCTTTTCTTTCTCGCTTTGGCCGCTGTCTTTGCCCAGGGCTGGGCACGCCCATTCCTGGTATAGGACTCGGCTGAAAGTGTTCGATTTTGTTTCTTTTAAGAACACACACACACACACACACACACACACACACACACACGCATGCCCGGTGACTGCGGTGTTATGTTACGGCTCTATCTTTAGCTGTTGGGATTCATGGGGTCTGGAAGAACGCAGTGCATTAATTCTCAGACCTCAGGGAGCTGGCGTCCACTCAAAGGGTAAGCGAGATGCCGCCTTGGCGTTTTCCGCCCCGTGGCGTGAATTCTCCGACACACCTGAACAGGGATCATGACCTGATGTTTTTCTGTCCCCCCCGGGCAGGTCCACCTTCCCCGGGCCCCGTCCCTGCTGGCCCAGATCACAGCGCCTTGGCCCAGTGGACCCAGTGCTGCCCTGGCTCCTGAGGGCATGTGTGTGTGTGTGTGTGTGTGTGTGTGTGTGTGTGTGTGTGTGTGTGTGTTTCTTGTTGAAGCAGGATTATTTTTTCAGGAAGGAGACTCCTCTTTGAAGACGGGTCCCCTTTGAACTGGCAGCTCACGTCCACGTTTGGACGGGAGGTTGACCTCGGGCAGCGGGCACCCTTGATGCGTGCATTGAGGAGGGTCTGCCGGGCAGAGTTGGTTGGGACGGGCTTGCCGACGACCGTCTCTGGCTCCTGCTGTCCCCTCCCATCCACGCCCCTGCTTGCCAGAGGCAGCCCGAGCCCCCCAGTTTGGTCGATGGCCCCTCTGGTGGGAAGGGAGGGGGGGCTTCTGCAGAGCCGGGAACCAAACCAGATGTGGGGCTGGACGGTGGAAGCTGAGTCTGACTGGACGGGGGCCAGGGCGATCAATTTTTCCGAGCCGTCTCCGGGATGCGAGGGCCTGGATTTCTCCTCCACCCTCTTAATGGCCGTGATGGCGTTGCTCACCCATCGGCCAGCGCTGGTTCTGCAGACACAGAGGGAGCTGGGCTCTGAGTCGGCCTGTCCCCGCTGCCTGGGGAGAAATCAACGTCACCAACTGCACCCGGGAACAAGCATCCCTGGCTGCCTTCGGTCAGGTCCCCACACTCAGCCAAGAACCAGCGGCCATCGATGGAGAAACTGGGGAGCAAAGGGTTCACACCCCCGTGGAAGGCCTAAAACTTCCTACGAATGAACGGCCCCATCTCGGGAATTCACTGGGGAGAAGATTTCCAGGTGGGGTCGGGCCACTTGCCTGTCTACCGAGAGCCCTTGGCTTCTGTCAGAGCTTTTTTTTTTTGTCTGACTGGAAGATTATTTGGCTTTCTTCCCCTAAAGCTCTAAGTAGCGTGCTGGCCCTGCTGTCATGGGCTCTGCTGAGAGAACATTCTGGAAGATGTGGGGAATTACTGGCATTTTCACCCACTTTAGGGGAGGGACGCAAGCCAAGTTATGTCTTGTTTTAGAATCAGAAATGTGGATTAAAAAAAAGAAGAAGAAGAAAAACGCAATTATGAGCGGGCCCAGAGTCTGGTTTTTGAAAATTTCATTTCCTCTTTGCACCTCTGGGTCCTGGGCCTGAGGGTGTGGGGTCCGCACAGGCCGGTGCGGCTGGGAGCCCCACGCCTGGGGATGCAGCTTCTTTTTGGAAAATCCATCCGTAAAGGTGGAGAGACAGAGACGGGGTCCCTGGGCTCCGCCAGACGCCCCGTGCCCCGGACTTCTCCTCAGAACCATCCCTGCCAAGGCTCCCGGCCCGGTCACCCCGACTCTCCCTCACTCTTGCTCTGTCTCTGTGACTTTTCGTTCTTATCCTTTCTCTTCCTCACATCAGCACCACTCCTCCCCAAGCCGCTGTCCTCCAGCCTTCCTGAGAAGGATGCTCTGGTTTCCCTTTGCCCACGTGGCTTTCCATCAGAACGGAGGGATGGGGTTAGCCTGAGGGGCCCGGCCTGATGACCGCCCCTGGGGGTAGAGGCTGTGTCCAGCGATGTGTCGATGTGTCCCTGGGGCCCTGCTGTGCTCTGCACGGTAGTTCCTTCCATGAAGACAAAGCAGGAGTCCACCCCTCCCCCACCCCTGTGCTCTGTGTGACGGCAGAGGGAGGCCCCCAGCCCCGTGGCTGAGGAGACAGAGCCGGCTGCTCTGACGGAGATGGGGGAGCTCACGTGTCCCTTTCGGAACCCTCTCGTTCAGCTGTATTTCGCCGCCTTCACAAGCTGTATACTTGCTGTGGATGTGCGCCATGCAGATAAATAAACACGGAGCTTCTTGGTCCTTTGGCCCACGGTCTAAATCACTGAATCAAGAATGGAGTCTGTGACATGGTGCTTCTATTTATTTATTTATTTTGGGATATTTTTTTCTTTTATTGAATCACCCTGAGATGCAGTTACAAAGCTGATCAAGTTTCAGTCATACACTGTTCCAACACCCATCCCTCCACCAGCGTACATTTCCCACCACCAATATCCGCCGTCTCTCTCTCTCTCTCTCTCTCTCTCTCTCTCTCTCTCTCTCTCTGTCTCCCCCCACTTTGGGAATTATAGTTTGCAGTATAGATACTGAGAGGCCATCGTGTTTGGTCCTTTGCCCACTTCCAGCACACATCTCCCCTCCCGAGCGATCCCTCCGACCATCACTGACTTAGTGCTCCCTTCTCCATCCCAGCTGCCCCCTCCCCAGCCCTTGAGGCAGGCTTCCGACCGTGTTCCACTCGTCCTGGCCCTTGTTTCTACTGTCCTTCTACACAGCGCTTTTGTGATGACCTTCTCGACCCTCTCACTTAGTGTGGACTCGGCCCAGAGAGTAACCTCTGCCGCAGGACCCTCCACCCAGGGAAACTCCCTGCTGTCTCTGCCTTGGGTGGGCCTCCTCATGCCCCTAGAGTCACTCTCGCACTGAACTGCAGGCAGTCACTCAGCTGTGCAGGAAAAGTCCCTGCCAAAGGCAGCCTCCTCCTTCATGGCCTGAGCCCTGTGTGGTGGTGGTGGTGGTGGTGTGGGGGGAGGCGGGGAGGGAGAGCAGATTCAGGCTGATTCTGGCTAGTTCCAGCTAGTTCCAACTAGTTCTGGCTAGTTTGGACTAGTTTCAACTAGTTCCGGCTAGTTCTGGCTAGATCCGAGTAGTTTCGGCTAGTTCTGGCTAGTTCCAACTAGTTCCAACTAGTTCTGGCTAGTTCCAGCTAGTTCCAGCTAGTTCCGGCTGGTTCTGCCACCCTCCCAGGGGAAGAGCTGTGATCATCACATCTGGGCTGGCGCTTTTCAGCTCCTGGTGCAGTAACATCACTCTGAATCCACGTGAAGTGATAAGTGCAGCTGTAATAATCTTCTGAGCTCAGGACCCAGATAATTGTCCAGTTGGCGCGAAGCTCGGTGCCCCTGTACATGGCTGGACCTAGGACCAGCGGGATCTAAGATCTGCGACCTCATTCAGGGTGTAGGTGCCTGATCTTGCTGGGATTCATATCGTTTCATCCTCCACCCCCTCTTTCTCCTTCCTATATTCTACTCTAATGTTCATTGAAGAGTTGAAACATTTGCACGACATTTGAAGCCAAGGCACACGCTTGAAACCCTGCACATTTCACCAGCTTTTTTTTTTTTTTAAAGAAAATCATTTTCTCGCATTTATGGTGTTAATTTCAAACTCTCCTGGTGTTGAGTAGATGTAAGGGCTGAAGAGATGGTAAAAAAAATCAGACTTCTTGATTAGACTAATGTCCTTCCAGTGTTAATTTCGGTGCCAGAGAATTTTATAGTGAATCGCAGACCAAATCCCAATCATACTGCTTGGCCGTTGGATCTCACACAACTCTTCCCCGCCCCAAAGCTTTTACAACTTCTGCCCTGAGCCCTGCACTTAGCTCTTGGGGGATTAGCAGGAATGGCCTCGCCCGTCTCCCAGGGAGACTTGTGCGGTTCCAGAATTCTCCTCTCATAAAGCCCAGCAGGGCTCTCTGGGCCCCCGCTGCTCCCTTCTGCATCCCGTCCACCGTCTCAAGATGGATAATGCGGATGAATCATCGGGGGACTCGTAACTACGACTGTTTTCTGTCCCTCCTTCCCGACTAATGAAGCCCGTCCCTGGAGTGGATAGAGCACAGCAGGGAACATTCTTGGCGGGGACTCCAGGGGGCTCACACCTCCTTTCGAGCTCATGTTCCTTTGACAACTTCGATCCTGAAACTTTCTGTGAGAGTTGCACTGAGAACGAGAAAACGCCCTTCGAAAGCCAACTCTGAGTCCGATCTCTCCATCCCTCATCCCCAATTCTGAGTGGAGGAGGCCTCGCTGTTAGACACCAGATCCTGCCTATTGCTAGATTCCGTGACGCCAAACTCTTTCTCTCCAGTCCTCCGTGTTGGTGATTATGTAATTTTTAAAACACAAACCAACTTGTATCACAGCATCATGTCTTAGAAAGGCCAAAGCAATTGACCTTATTTTTCAGCCTCATTCCTCCATCTCTCTCCTCCCCCACACAGAGAAAATATTTTCAGGCCTTGGCAGGTTCATCTAAAATCAATAATCTGTGACCAAATAGGACCCACTGATAGAGATCTTTGAATATGCCGCTGAATGTGTTTGTGAATAAGGTAAAGGTAAGGTAAAG